AAAAAAAAAAAAAAGAAAAAAACCCCCAAAAACCTCCTACCTCCAACATGGGGGATCCGCTGGGTCCTAATGCCACACCTGAGCCGGCCCCTTCCTCCTCCCAAATTGCTGCCAGTTAGGGGGGAAAAAATAATAATTTAAAAAAAAAAAAATAATCAAAAGTCAAGAAGTGCGTATGGATGCAATGGTCCTCAGGGCCAGGGGTTGTTCTGTTTTGGTTTTTTTTTCCCCGAATTTTAAATTGACTGTAAAAGCAAGGAGAGAGGATTTGGCGCAGCCCTGAGCACGCCAGCACGGGTCAGGCTGGGTTTTGTGAGATGAAAGGATCCCATCAGGGGCATTGCGCTGTGACCTCGGCTGCTCTTGGGGAAACCGAAACAAAACCCGAAATAAACCCCCAAAATTTGGGATCCTGGGATAACACCCCTCCTGACTCGACGTTCACCATTAGCGCTCGACCTACTCCCCCCGGAGCAGCGAGGATGCTGCAACCCTACGGTAGATTTAAAGTTTTATCCCAGGATGGAGGAAGAAAAAAAAAAAAAAAACCCAAATCCCCTAGCAGATCCGCAGCCCCGGCGCGGCGGTGGATGGCTGACCGTGGGGCCCTCTTTCCCCCGGCTCGCTGGCGGCTTTCCGGAGGATGCGGGGTGCCGGCTGCATCCCGGCGAGGCTGGGGATGCTCCCCTAAAACCCGCCGAGCTCAGTGCTGGGGGGTAAAAACCTGCCAATTTTAGGTACGTTCAAAACCAGCAACGGAGCAAACGGAGGCTGCTCGAGGGCTGGCACGGAGGGAGAAGCTCTCCGGAGCCGGCCAGCAGCGTGCACGGGGATGGGGATGAGACGGTGATTTTTCACCCGCGGGGCAGGATTGCACCCCTTGCACCAAGCCCACAACCAGTTGTGCCGAGGTACGAGCATTTCGGCAGCCAGAAGCGGGGCCGAGTGCTCTAAAAACGAGGAGAAAACCCAGTTTCAGACCCGGAGGAGAAGCAGAGCGGTTTTTAAGGAGCTCCCATCACATATCAAGCCCGATTTTTCCAGCCTGGAGGATGGATAAAACCATCCAAACGACTCCAACCACATCTAATAGCTGCTCCCATGAAGCTTCTGCCTGCCCCAAAAGCCAGCGCTGTCCTTGTCCCCAGCTCTGTTAACCTCCAGCGAAGGGCAGGAGCTGCCTGTTAATAATTAAACGGACTTTGCAAAACCCCCTGAGGCCCAGGAACACCCTGCAAAAAGCAGCCAAGCAAAACACCCCAGTGTGGGGTGAGGAAAAAACCCGAGGCGCAAACGGGTCCCTCAGACCTGGGTGCCTTTTGCTTCTAAAATTGCCAAGCGCAAAAATCTCCGAGGGTCGAGTATGGGGTGTGTTTTTTGGTGGGGTTTTTTTTTTTATTATTTTTTTTTTTTAAGCTCAGGAAGCCTGGTTTAATAACTGAAGCCTTGGCTAGGATTTCAGGAAACCTCTTACCTCTGCTTGTGCCTCATTTCCTGATCTAATCCCCAGCTCCCGGAGGGCAGAGAGGCGCCGCTGGCGCTCGGAGGGGTTTAGGCTTTCCATGCAGGCGAGTCCCCGCCAGAACCAGCCTTCGATCCGAGCACCAGGCTGAGAGGTGGCCGAAAACCCCCTCGGAAGGCAGGGCAGACAGCATGCCGGGGCTCGGCTCTTCCCCTTTCGGGATGCGGCATCTCCATCTACCGGCTCTTCCGCCGTTGAAGGAGCGAGGTTTTGCAGCCTTGGCGAGGACACCTGGGTTTTTCCAGCAATTATTTTCTAGGAAATTCCAGCTGGAAACAGGCTCGGGGGTTATTTACTCGCTGATGCTCGGTTTGGGCTGCTGAAATCCCAGGCGGTGCCACCCCTGGGTTCACTCTCTGCTTTCAGGCATCGAGGACGGCATCTTCCAGCCCAGATGGAGCACGAGGCGACCCTCAAACCTCTTTCATCTCCTCCATCTGACACTCACCCGCGCCGCCGATGCCGTCCTGCCCCAAGGAGTCCATCCACGCCAGGCAGCACAAGCAAGTGGTCAAGAAAATAGTGTTAATTTATTAGACAACGCTCACGACAGCACCACACGGAAACAAAGCGGTACGTCATTCTCCCGACTGCACTTACACCTCAATGCACTGGAGGAGAGTTAAAAAATAAAGATTCGGGTGGGGTTTTTTTAATGCTACAAGGGTCCCGTCCGAAAGCAGAAGTGCTCTGCGGGAGCATCGCGAGCGGAGAGGGTGCCCGTGGTCAGTCCCCGGGTGCTGGGGCTGGAGCAGCATCCTTGGCAAGCCGGGGCCGGGGCGGTTTGTAAACAGTTCCTACACATCTAGGGCGGCCGCGGGGGGAAGGCGGAGGGGGTGGGGTTTTTTTTTCACAGTGAGCAGAGACGTGAGGCTGGGGTGGGCGCCCTCGCCACGAGAAGATCAAGGACGTTCTCCTCGGTGGTTTTGACCAGCCGGGAGAGGCAAAGGGAGGCGGCGTCCCCCCTGCAAAACAGTACCAGTGCGCCCAGCGCGGGGAGACGGGGCTGAGGCCAGCACGGGAGCGGGAGAGGTCCTGGAGGAAGAACTGAGCTGGACCCATTTCTCTTCTTCTGGACCTTCTCCCCACCCCCAGTTTGCTTCTCCAGCATCTCCTCCTCTCGGCCACGGCTGCCGGGCCGGCGCGGGCGCGTTCACAGCTGCGATGCCGAGGGTCTCGCCGCGGGGAGGATGAGCCGCGCTGGCCACCGCACCCCTCGATTTACCCGGGGCCATAACA